TTAAAAAAAATCGTATTTAATTGATTTTGCTCATGTTTTATCAGTTTTATTTTATATACCAACAGAATTTAATTAATTATAAAATAAATAAATAATTAAAGTAATTATATTAAATAAAATTAATAAATAAATAACGTAACATAAAGACATAATTAAAGTAATTATATTTTTTGAACATTTAAATTAAAGAAATTTGGGTAGCAACAATAGTGGGACCTGAGTCCCAACGTTAGCAATCTTTGGGTTCAAAACAGAGTTTTTGCTTTGATTTGGCTGCATATAAGTATCGCTTAAGTTTTCAATATCAACAAACACATTACATAGTTCATTAATGGATTATGGCTGAATCCAGACTGCATTTTTTAGTTATACAATACAAATTAATATATAATACAAACAAAGCATACCTCTTCCATACCGAAAGGAACCAGCTTTTCCTCAAGACCACCAATTTCTTTCAAATTCAAGTTGTTGAGCATGGTGATGCTGGATATGGTGGACATGGGCTTTACCTCCAAATCATCCATAATCATATAAGTCACCACCCCCTTCACGAAACCACCTTCTTCTGCTGTCAACTTTTCTGAACCAGAACCAGCCACATAGGACAACCTTCTGTTTAACAGCCCATCACAAGAAGGACAAACAGCAGTCGGATCATCAGCTACATATGAATGGTGATCATAACCACTACTTCTACTACAACTGTAAAGCTGTTTAGCCATGGGAGCATCATCATTGGGTAGCAACAATAGCGGGACCTGAGTCCCAACGTTAGCAATCTTTGGGTTCAAAACAGAGTTTTTGCTTTGATTTGGCTGCATATAAGTATCGCTTAAGTTTTCAATGCTGTGATAGAGGTTTCCTATTGAACCCACCATGGAATTTTTCGTCAGAAGCTTGATTACTGTACCAACAGGGAGAGACAGGATGTGGAAGAGAAAATCCACAAATTGTTTGTCGGCTTCGGCAAATATAACTTTCTGGTCTTTTTTGTCGACCAGAAGTTTTAAGCTTATTTGGGATGAAGTTGAAGAAGAGGATGCAGCCATTTTTGTTTCTTTCAAGCAGTCTTTACTTCTGTGGACGAAGAAGATGAACCTTTCAACTTATTTATGCACCCCCGAGTCACTTTTTCAAACCCCCCCCCCACCCCACCTAACCCACCTACCCACGCATCAATCACGGTGTTCAGCTGACTTGCACTAATAGACCCCTATTGTATTGGAATTAGGTCTCCTCAAATACTCACCCTCTCACTTAATAATAAAATATACCCCTTTTTATTAAAAATAATAAAATATACCTAATTCAATTTATTTATTTTTCAGTTTTAAC